AAACGCCACCACCACTAGCACCACCACAACTCACCACAACCCACCACCACCGCCACCAACACCACCGAAAACCACCACACCATTACCAGCACCATCACCACCACCGCACCACCACAAGCATCACCACAACCCACCATCACCACCACAAACCATCACACCACCACCACAACCACCACCACTACCACCACCACCACAACAATCCACCACCCACCACCACCACCACCAGCACCGCTACCAGCAGCACCACCACCACCACAAACCACCACGCCACCACCACCACCGCCACCACCAATACAACCACCACCACCACCTCAACCCACCACCACCACCACCAAACCAACACACAACCACCACCACCACAGCCACCACCACCACAACAACTCACCACCACCACCACCACCACAAACAACCACACCACCACCACGACCACCACCAACACCACCAGCAGCACCCACCACCACAACCACCACCACCACAAGAAGCCACCACCACCACCACAACAACCACCACCACCACAACCACCACCACCACGAACACAACCACCACGACAAACCACCACACAACCACCACCACCACCACCTTAACCCACCACCACCACCAGAACTACCATCACCACCACCAGCAGAAACCGCCGCACCACCTCTACCACCGCCACCAACACAACAGCCACCAACACCACCACAAACCAACACACCACGACCACCACCACCACCGCCATCACCAACACCACCACAACAACCCACCACCACCACTCCAAATTACCACCACATCACCACCACCAAACCACCACCACCACCACAACCACCAACCACCACCACAACCACTACCGCCACAACAAATCACCACACCACCACCACCACCACAACCACAACTACCGCCACCACCAGCACCGCAACCCACCACCTCCACCACAAACCACCACATCACCACCACCACCACGACCACCACCAGAACCACCCACCACCACAACCACCACCACCACAACAAACCACCACCACAAACACAACAACCACCACCACCACCAATACAACCACCACCACCACAACCACCATCACCACCACCACCACCACGACAAACCACCACACAACCACCGCCGCCACCACCACCTTAGCCACCAAGACAACTACCATCACCACCACCAGCAGAAACCACCGCACCACCCCCACCACCGCCACCACAACCACCACCACGCCCACCACCTGCCACCACCACCACCACAACAACCACCACCGCCACCACCACCACCACCACGACCGCTACCACCACCACCGCCACAACCACCACCACCACCACCACCACCACCACAGACCACCACCACCACCACCACCACCTCAGAAAGGCCCCAAAAGACGCTCAAGAGGCGCCCAGGAGGCTTCGCAAGTGCCCGTCAGAGGCATCCGAGCCCTCCGACGAGACCCCAAGAGCACGGTGGCGGAGCGTCGTCGTCGTCGTCGTCATCGCCGTCGGTGCCGTCATAGTATTATTAGTATTGCTCGTTGTCTTATTCATGTGCTTATTTTTATTCGCAATAGCATTAACATTAGTATTATTATTAGTATGCCCATTCATTGCTTCTCCGTATTATTAACATTCGTATCATCATGTTCCTTCTTATTCGTAGTATTCATATCACTACGCATATTAACATTAACATGAGTAGTACTACTATTGTTAACATTATTATCATTATTGCTATCCGTACTACTCTTATGATGTAACTCTTAGTGGAACAAATTATATTATTATAATTACTCCTCCTCATCGTCCTCATCCTTGTCCTCGTCCTCGGCATCCTCCTCCTCCTCCTCTTCCACTCCTCCTCCTCCTCATCCTCATCCTGCTCCTCCTCCTCCTCCGCCTCCTCCACCCCTCCTCCTCCTCCGCCGCCTCCGCCTCCGCCTCCACTTCCGCCTCCACCTCCGCCTCCGCCTCCGCTTCCGCCTCCACATCCGCCTCCGCCTCCGCCTCCGCCGCCACCTCCTCCTCTTCCTCCTCCTCCTCCTCCTCATCCTCCTCCTCCTCCTCTTCCTCTCCTCCTGCTCCTCCCCCCTCATCCTCCTCCCCTCCTCCTCCTCCTCCTCCTCCTCCTCCTCCTCATTCTCCTCCTCCTCATCCTCCCTCCTCCTCCTCCTCCTCCTCCTCCTCCTCCTCCTCCCTCCCTCCTCCTCCTCCTCCTCCTCCT